CAATATTCTATAATTCTATTTCAGAGTTTAAGTTTTGGATACAGACCTTGATTTAAAAGTGCCTTACCTAGGGAGGGCTGCTTTATCTCTTTAAACATCGGTTTTCTACCAAGTAAAATGAGGATTAGAATACCTTCCTTATAAAGTTATTGGGAGGCTGAAATGAAGTAACATGAGAAATACAAAGTAAGTGCTCAATAAATAGTGTACAGTAACAGCGGTAATGATATCAACAATTCCATAAGGCAAATCCTTTGTTTCGTCTTAGCAGCTGCTAAGCCAGGTGCTCCTGTGGTCTTGTGCAGAAGGCCTTCGAAGCTCTGAAGCTATAGTTCTCTATGAAGGTGGTCAGATAGTGCCATTTCATCTCCATGGCAACCGATGTCTCAATTATCTAGTCTAGTGCCAGGTAGGTATTAGGTAATGAGACAAACTGAATCTCAGGCTAAAACTCTGTTCAGTCAATTCACTAGCAGTGCTTCTGTCATAATAGACACATTCAAAATTCTGATTTCCTGTGATCTTTAAATTTATACTCTCAGTCATAAAAGCAGTTCTGAAACATTGACCATCTCAGATACATTTTTAGTTTTAGTTATCCCTCCAATGTTTACCTGAGATAAAAATAAGCAAAACAATCAAAGCTTTTCCATTAAAGGTTTCTCACATTTTGTCATCAGTCTATTTTTCTCTTGCTAACATACAAGGGATTAGATTAGAAAGTATGTTGTTGAGAAAAACTTTTTGAGCTTAAGCAAAACATGGGTCGCACTTTATTTTATAAAATGGTATTGGATATAAAATAAAACTTTTCTCAGGAAAAAGGGTTGGCATTTTGGTGAAAGGAGTAAAGGAAACCATGTTGGTTGAAAGGACCCAGTGCCTAGTACACTTAGGAAGTATTAATTTATGAATGAACCACATGACTGGACGAGTCAAAAGTCCTTGGAATTCCAGGTGTATAAATTAGTAAATTTGTGAAACCTTCAGCAATGCACTTAGCTATTTTATGCTTCATTTTATAACCGTCTGTAGGTTGGGACAGTACCTAAAAGATGGTCCTTACAGTGAACGTTAAAGAGATAGCACCTGTGAAAGCCCCTTGTAAATTACAAAGCCCTATGCAGATGCTATCGCAGGAATAGCAACACCAGTAGTAGTGACAGTTGTTACTTTTTTGGGAGCCAGCTGAGTAATTTTTCTAAAGCACAATTCTTCCTGGAGCAGCATAAATTGAGTTGGGTTTTGGCTGATACTGAGTTGGGGCTCTAGAGATATCACAAAATATTTTATAAAATTTACATGAGATTGCAAATTTAGGCTAAATAGAAGGGGGAAATGCTGTAAAAATTGATAGGGCCAAAGGGAATGGTCTCTAATCAAATTATACACGCCCCTTCCCAACCGCCCCAAAACACTCATAATATTTGATATAAAAATAACAGCAACGAATGGCTGCATTAAAAGGGAACAATTCTTCCAACATAGCTTAAGGGCAGCTAAGCAGATTTTAAAAGTGATTGTAGTCAAAACAGAAGAAATTTTAAATGATGCATAAATACAGTTGATCATTTTCGTGGTTTTGAGGAAATGGGTGAAAAAGTTGGGACTTGAGGCTTCTGTGTCCTTGAAAAGAAGCTTGCTTCTAAAGAGAAAGAGTCCAGAGGCACGTAATAAATAGGCTCCAGTATGCCCCCTTTTGAATTTGAAGCAGAGAGGAAAGCCAGGTCAAGGCAGACAATCTCTCGGATGTGCTGGAGAATTGGCCTTGGAAATTCAGGTGAGGAGAGAAAAGAATGCCAGGGAGATCTTGGCAGGTGGGAGGAGACTGGAGTGGAGTTAGCAAGTCTTGGAAACAGAAAATGGAGGCAAAGGGTAAGGAGAAACCAAGAAAACATTTTTCATTGCTTTGTCTGAGGCAGAGGCAGCCCTGAGCACAATCGTGAAGTAGATACAATTTCTTGAGTCTTCCTCTCCATCAGCAATTGGAGACGTGCTGCCATCCTGCTCTTTCCACTCACTCAATACCGAATTTTCCAGATCTCTGTCATTCTCTTAAGTATTTACTCTTTGAAAGGTAAAAAAAAAAAAAAAAAAAGCCTGCAAAGTCTGATAAATGAATGCATTAGGGGGTGAAGGGTAGAATTGCATTTTTAAAAAGAATTCTTGTAAATATTTTTTTATAAGTAATCATGAATTTTAAAAGGAGGAGTGGGGTCTCTGTAAAATCTGCCTTAATTTCAAGGAGTGTCTAAACTTCGGAATTTCCATTACTGCTAATAGACCTATAGTGGCAGTGAACACTTTTTCTTGGCTCTCAAATATATTTAAGCCTGTAAAGAGAAGAACTCAATTTTATATTTTACCCATTACAGGCATGGACTTATGCTAAGTATATTTTACATGCAATCTTCATTTCGTTTTATGGAATAGAACTAGAGGTTCAGAGAGGCTGGTAACCTGCCTGTGGCAGATGGCATTTTCCAGAGGTGCCTGCAACGATATCTTCCACACGACACATTATTCTAGAACAGGAGTTAGCAAACTTTTCTATAAGGAGCCATATAATAAATATTTTAGGGTCTGTGGACCATTTTGTCTCTGTCCCAACCATTCAACTCTGCCATTTTGGGAAAGCCAGAGACAATATATAGGAAAACGGGCACGGCTGCGTGGAGAGGAGAGCCAGATTTCCTCTGAGGGCATAGGTTGCCAACCCTGCTCTAGAACTTTGCCATTCCCTGTCGAAAGGTGGCATCTAATTCCCCTCTTTTTTAACCTGGGGAGGTGTGTGATTTGCTTGTGACCAAGAGATAGTGAAGGAAGTGACACTGCAGGATCTTTGAGGCTACATCAGAAAAGGTGATGCAATTTCCGCCTTACGCCCTGGGGTGACTGAGCCCTGCGTGGAGCCCCAAGCCACCATAGAAGCTGTCCAGTTGTCCTGAGGCTGTAAGGAAGCCTGCATTAGCCCGTGGAGAGACCACAAAGAGAAGCCTTGAGGCCAAAAGACGAGGGAGAGATGCTCAGTCAGACCCCAGGTGTCCTAGCTCTTCACCTGACTGCAAGCTCTGGAGAGACCCTGAGCCAGAACTACCCATCTGAAGCTCCTCTCAAACTTCTGTCCCGTAGAAACCGAGGACTAATAAGAAGATTGCTGTTGCCTTAGGACACTAAGTTTTGGAGTGATTTGTTACACAGACATATGCAGAACGTTGCTCCCAAACTAGTGAGTGGCAGATCGGGGATTCAAATCTAGGTTGGCCTGACTTCAACAGTGTGTTCTTTCTATTACATGACTGCTTCCAGCAGCCTTTAAAAAAAGTAGGAAGTACGGAGGAGGGAGGAGGTAGATGGGGTAAAAGGGTCAAATATGTGGCGACAGAAAGAAATCTAACTATGGGAGGTGAACACGCAATGTAAATATATATATGCCTTACTGTTAAAATGTACAGCCGAAACATCGGATTTCATTAACCAATGTCACCATAAAAAATAAATTACTTTTAAAAAGTCTTAAAATATATGTAACATAAAATTTACCATGTTAATCATTTTTAAGTGTACAGTCCAATAAGTACATTAACATCATTGTGGAACCAAACCCCGCAACTCTTTCTGTCTTGCAAAACTGAAACTCTATACCCATTAAACAGCAGCTCCCCGTTATCCCCTTCCCTCAGCCCCTGGCAACCTCTGTTCTATTTTCTGTCTCAATGAATTTGACTACTCTCCATCCCTTGTGTAAGTGGAATCATACAGTATTTGTCTTTTTTTTGTGACAGGCGTGTTTCACTTTGTGTGAGCATATGTGTATATTTATATATTTATAAAGCCTGTGTTGGTTGGTTAGTCAAATCAGTGAGTAGTTCAGGTTTGTCAAGGACAAATGTTGGAGATTTCAGGTCCTGTAAGTTACAGATGCAACATGTCCTAGGAAGGGCCTTGCAACAACACTTACTCTGACAATGGCAATTCACAGTGTCCTGCCTCAAGAGAGAGGGCTTTGAAGGAAGAGGAACTTGTGAATCAAGAGTAAGATAAGGCTATTTGGTTTGCTTCGGCTTGTGGGCTGTTTGCTTTCTCTCAGAGTCATGCCTTGAGAATGAAATCATGTTTCCTCACACAGCCCTTTCAAAGAGCATCCAGTACAAACACTCACTGTCCGCTTCTTTATCTCCTCTGCATCCAGGGTATGTACTGACTTGGCAGAAATTCTATGACTAGCTGTGAATTATGTATTGAGCAAAAAACCTGCAGGAAATTGGCTTAAATGTTGCTACTTGCTTACACAGACTAAGACAAAGTCTTCGGGGGCCTCTTTAACCTTCTCTGCCTTCCCCCATCCCTAAACTAAGACCAAAAGGCAGTTGTGGGGTGAGGCACACACTTTTAAAGTCATCAGCTTGGCTTCCTCTCTCTATACTCACCCTAATTGCTTAGCCCACCTGTTACACCAAAAGCTAATGGAAGTGATCTTTTTGAATCTCCAAGGGTCCTACCCCACTGTTATGGGCTGAATTGTGACCCCTTCAAAATTCATGTGTTGAAGTCCTAACTCTCAGTACCTCAGAATAACTGTATTTTGAGACAGGGCCTTTAAAAAGATTATTAAGTTAAAATGAGGTCATCAGGCCTGAATCTAATGTGACTGGGTCCTTATAAGAAGAGGTTGTGGCACCAAAGGCACGTGCTCAAAGGGGAAGGACCATGTGAGGACACAGGGAGGAGATGGCCATCTGCAAGCAAAGGAGAGAGGCCTCAGCAGAAACAACCTGCCCACACCTTGACCTTGGACTTCCAGACTACAGAACTGTGGTAAATAAATATCTGTTGTTTAAGCCCCTCAGTCTGTGGGTACTTTTTGTTACAGCAGCCACAGGAAACTAATACAGTCACCAATGGAAAGTTCATAGTCTTGAGGTTGGGGCTTCAGCCCAGAAAAGTTCTGAAGGCAAGAAATCCTTCTACTACAGCTCCTCTTTCTGCATCCTTTATAGTGGCCTGCTGGCAAGTTTGGAATGTGAAGCTGGTAGAAAAGCCTGGGGTGAGGGGCTCACCTTCAGCAAGCCCAAAGGGACTCCTGGAGGCTCCTGGCTCAGAAGGGCAGAGACCTGTGGCTCTAGATTCCAGAAAGTCCAGTAAGTATGGGGAGACTTAGTAGGTGTCTTGGGCATGGTCTTAGAGGCCCATCTTGATGAGCGCTTAACTCCTCTCTTTTCTCCTGGGCACCAGAGGCCTTTCTTCTGCCTATCCCTTTCCACTCTCTTGGACTTTCCCCATCCACCCCTTCTACAAGACTGCTTTATTTCTAGGAAAGTTAGAAGAAGGGATGGCATCATGCCAATCCTAATAGTTTTGGTTTTTCTTTTGTGGGAAGGGTGCTAGGGAATAAGAGGGATACCTGCCTTTTAAGGAGGTAGGATGGGTGGGGTGGTACACAGAATAATGGCCCCTAAATTCTGAATCTGAAATCTATGAATGTTTCCTTACATGGCAGAGGAGATGTTGCTGATGTGATAAAGTTAAGGATCTTAAAATGAAAAGATTATCCTGGATTACCTAGGTGGCCCCAATGTAATCACAAGGGTTTTTATAAGAGGGAGGCAGGAAGGTCATAGTCAGAGAAGATGCAATGGTGGAACCAGAGGTGACAGGGTTGAAGACACCACTCAGCTGCTGGCTTTGAAGATGCAGGAAGGCGCCACAAGGCAAAGAGCACGGGCAACCTCCAGAAGCTGGAAAGGCAAGGAAATGTGTTCTTCCCTAGAACTTCCATGACGAAGTGCAGCTCTGCCAGCCCTTTATAGACCTCTGACCTCCAAAACTATGAGATGATTGCTGTTGTTTTAAGCCACTAATTTTGTGGGAATTTGTTATAGCAGCACCAGGAAACCAATACAGGTGATAAAAATGAAAGGCCTTGAGAATAGCTGCTATCACATTTAAATAGGCAGTGAGAAGTGCCCAGAAATAAAATAACAAACTAAGCTAAATCTTCCATCCCTTAAAATAGTGGTTTTCAAAGGTGGTCTCCCAGTCAGTGGTGTCAGCAGCACCTGAAACTAGTGGGTCAAATTCTCAGGCCCCACCTTAGACCTACTGATTATGAAACACTGGGTGGGGGCGGGGCACAGAAATCTGTGTTTTAACAAGCCCTTCAGGTGATTCTGATGCACACAAGTGTTCACTTTAAAAATAAGTGACCTGGGCTGGCTCCTCATGAACTAAGGGTAGCTGTGGACCTTCAGATGTCTATGTGTTCCTCTTGAATCTACAATTAAACTATTTTATGATTTATGCTTGGCTTGGAATCTGAGAATGATGGGCAAAGTTATCTTCCCAAGATGGGCTTTGCGGGGGTAATGTGGGAAGTGGGATCCCAGAATTCAGTCTTCATGTGCATGTAAGTCCCCACCCCATCACACAGCCTATGCCGAGAATAATGCTAGATTGTGATTACAGAGCCCTGCCCTGTCACATACACTTGCCCTAGACTGCGGTGGCAGAATGGGTGGTAATTTCTTTTTATCTTAAACCCTTACCTGCTAGAGGCAATCCTATACTGGGTAGTTGGAAAGATATTCACTTTTGAAAGCAAGAGTGGGGTCATTCCTTCTAGAAGGTTTGGAATCACACAGACATTGATTTCAGTCCTGGATCCGCCTCCCATTATTTGGGTGATTTTGGGTGTGTAATCTCTCTGAGTGTCAGTGCTTTTTCTATAAAACAGGCATGCTGAAAGTACTTCTGTGACAGAGTTGTTGAGAGGTTAAGTGAAATAATACATGTAGAGGTCCTAGTGCAGGACCTAGAACAAAGTAAATGCTTTATGTTATTGTTATTAATTGTAGTTGGTATTATTAATTGTAATTCATAGCTACTATTTACACGAAATTCATCTTCTCCTATTTCCAGGCTTCACATATATAAAGGATCTAATCCACAAATTCACCTGTGTTAGGGATTCAGTCCATTTTAAGTTCTGCTAATAAGATTTTCCCTTGAGGCTCTTTAAGGCTCTGTGAAAAGGGAAAGTCCCCTATAAAATGAGAGCAATTGCTTCCCAGTTGACGGGACTTTTCGCAGCAGCCTGGGTCCCCAGCCCCAGGATGTGGCCGGACCCCAGTGTGGATGGTCCCATTTCCCACTCACTGCCTGCATTCCTCTGACCTGTCTGGTTAGATCTTGTATTTTTCCTTCCTCCTCCTCCGGCAGCCTCCACATCACCCAGACAGCTGCCGCCACATCCCGCTGCTTCAGAAGCGGAAGTAAGGCGCATTTAGGACCTTTCCGGGTGAGTGACAACATTTGAGATGAGATTAATAAAATGCCAGTGCTTAGGGAAAACCAGACTTTCCCCCAGTCACCTCTGCTCCACCTTTCTCATGACACATAAAATGAGCCAGCTGATCTTAGTCTGTGTGATAGGTTGTGTCAGCCTCTTTGTGAGACAGTGAACACTGGTGACCTGGGTGTGAACTGTTCCTTTGGGAGAATGGGTCTGGGACATCCTGTCGCTGGGTAAGCCTGCATGCAACTGGTTCCTTTGTCCTTGGCTGCGCTACCGATCATGTGCGGGGCTCTGTGTACATCACTTAGGGTATCTGTCCCCTAATGGCAGATGAAGTATTACTCCAGTTCACTCATGGATGCTGCAGGGTTTTTCCTCAGCTACCACATGATGACTAAGTGAAAGCATTCCAGGGAACCAGAAAGGCTGGCCGAGCCTCTGGAATTTCAAAACAGCATGGCAGGCTGTTGGCTCTTTCTGCCATGTCACTTTCTCTGAGCTGTATGCCACTTTGCGGCATGCTCACTTACCACTGAATCCCACAAACTTTAGGATTTATCTTTCTTAGAAGGGAGAGCCTGTTTTTCTTTTTCTCCATAGAAACAGTTTAATTTTTTAAGATTCAAGATGTCCCCGAAGGTCTTAATACAGACTTAGGGAAGAACAAGATAAAAAACAAGGGAAACTAACAGATGAAAGAAACCTCGTTCTTTTTTAATTCAAATTTATTCTGTTTAACAGGAGAGATTGGTAATATTATCTATGATTTAGGCTATATATGCCCAAGGGTACCTGTTAAGAACTGAACGTTTATGTCCCCACAAAATCCATATGTTGAAGCCCTAATTCCTGATGTGATGGTGTTTGGAGATGGGGCCTTTGGGAAGTGGTTAGGTTTAGATGAGGTCATGAGGTTGGAGCCCTGTGATGGGATTAGTGCCCTTATAAGAAGAGGCTCCAGATCTCTCTCTCTCTCTCTCTTTTTCTTTCTCTCTCTCTCTCTGTCTCTATCTCTCTGTCTCTCCACATAGAAAGCAGGGAAGGCAGCCATCTCTAACTCAAGACAAAGATAAGAGCCCTCATTAGACATCTAACCTACTGACACTTTGATGGTGGACTGCCCAACCTCCGGAATTGTGAGAAAATAAATGTGTGTTGTTTAAGCCACCCAACCTGTGGTATTTTGTTATAGCAGCCCAAACAGACTAGGCAATACCTCAGGAGCAAAATAGTCTAAACTCCAAGAAGTAGACCGCAAAGATCCAGGCAGCTTTCACTAAATGTTCCTCTTCCCTGTCCTAAAAGACAAAATAATGGTTTTCCATAGATGTTCCTAGAAGCAAAGTCTAGCCATCGCATACCCAGTATGCAAAAGGAAAGAACCAAAGTGATGAGCCCTTGAATTTGCCCAGTGCCTGCCTCACAGAACCTCTCCCACTACCTCTGCCGGGTTTATGGCAATGATTTCTACTGCCTGCTTTTCAAGGGATGTGGTCCTTCATTCCCTTTTTCCACAGCAATTCTACACTCAACCTCACAAAGATTCCTTAAGGCCATAGAACAGATGTTACTATGTTTGCGTCTATGCACTACAGGTGTCAGGCCTTGGCTTACGAGCCTTTCTTCATGCCTTGCTTTTCTCCTTTGTAAATCAAGTGATAATAAGAGTATATAAAGTATATAAAATATTTGAGTCTTGAAAAAAGAATTACTATCACTAAATCATGAATAAAAAACTGTAAAATCAAAACTAATAAAAATGTAATTAAATGCTGTTATAAACTAACATTATGTTAGTATCACTAATTGTTAAACTTAGTGTTAGCAAAATTCCATTACATTTGGAAGTACTTTGTGGATTAGATTTTTTTTATATTTTGTGAGAAATTCCTAAACAGGTATGATTATCAAGGAATCATAGCTAATCATAAACTAAATGAGTTTTACATACATAATTTTAATTATCAACAAAGAATGATAAAAATTCTTTCAAAATTGTTTACAGAAAACAAATTTATTTAATGGGGATGTGGATCATTGTAATATATTTGAAATGGTATAAGGTGGATTTTCTAAAGAAAGTTGAGCCTGAGGCTTATGAAGTTCCTATTTTTTTCCTTTTGGCGCCAAACGTAGGGCATGAGTGAAGTTCTTAAATCACTTGATTACCCCCACTGCAGGATGAGGATGCCAAGCACAGAAGAAATGATTTGCCCAAGGTGAGCCAATAAGTACAGAGGTGACACTCACTGTGACAGCACAGTGCTGCTTCTGTTCAGTGTCCTCAGGGAGCTGTCTCCAATAACACCTATATTCTGGAGTATGTTCACTTATTTGTGCTCCAGTGTAATTATTCACAAAAAGTCACCAGCCACTCACTCACCCAATCTTATGAGATTGTGCCTGAAAGCATTTGGTAATATATGTAAACCTGGAGATTTCACGGTGTGCCATCTCCCATAGACAGTTTATCACAAACTGAAATAAAGCTACTTTTTATCCTTTATGGAAACACAGGTATACTGAAGAGGAGGATAGTATGGTGGATGACTTCAAGAGTTCAATTATTAATCAGTCCTGGGTTTGGAATTCTATGACATTGAGCTAGTAACTTCTCTATGCCTTGGTTTCCTCCTTTGTGAATCAGGTGACAATAAGAGTAGCTACCTAGTTGCTGTGAGGTTTTAATGAGATAATGTATGTACTCCCTTTGCTTGCTATAGTTATGAACATTTATTAAATGCTCAAAAAAAGTGAACTCTTTGTGTTATTTCTAGCCTTCATAGCTTTTCAATAGTATAGTTGTTTGTTCAGGACTTAAAAAGTATGACCAAGTGATAGGTTGGTGGGAGTACAAAAGTTACAGCCCCTATGGGTGGGCATATGACAATATGTGGCAGCTTGGGTCCCTGAGAAACTGTGAAGCAGAGACCTCCTGACAACCTTCACGAAACATAAATAGTATGAATTGGAATACTTTTGTTATGTTTAGACACTGAGATTTGAGAGTTGTTTGCTATTGCTGCAAAACCTAACCTAATTAACAAAACCTTTGACCTAGCAATTCCACTTCAGAGATTAATACTGAAGATATACTGGACAAGATGAGATGTATATGAAATTATTTAGTAAAGTGTCATTTGAAATAGCAAAATACTGAGAACAATCTAAATGTGTAGCAAAGAGGAAATTGGTTAAATGATTTGCGATATATCCATATAGTGGAATACTGTATAGTTGTAAAATATAACTGGGGAGTTCTGTATGGAAATGTAGAAATTTTACCAAGACATTGTTAAACAAAAAAGCCCAAATTGTACAATAGTATATATAGTACACTATCCTTTGTATAAAAAAGGAGAAAACACATATTAATAATACTGTAAATATATATCTATATCGAAGAAAGAAAATTGACAATGGTGGATGAAGAGAAATAGAAACTAAGGTTAAGAGAAATAGAAACTAGGCATTGAGTCAATGCATTTTTTTCCTGTATTTTGATTTTTGAGCTATATGAATATTTTTTCTTATTCAAAAAATAAACCATATTAAAAATAAATAAAATAAAATCCTTTGCTATTTGTTGCCTATAGAAACCTTGAGAATGTGTCTCCATTCCTCACTTCATGCCTGGCTGTTTTCCCTTTTGAGCACAGCACTTCCGGGGGCATCTGATTCCTGGAGCTGTCAAGTGGTTTTCATCCTTCCCTCTGCGTGCAGGTTTAGCTCGCCCTTGGTGAGATGCACTTCTCTTCCCCTTTGCCTACTGTATGTCTTTCAACACCTAGATGTCTTCACTGGGGCATCTTTCTGATCCACCCAGGCAAAGTTCCTAGGTCGACTTCTATGTTTACATAACTCTTTATATAATTCTATGATTGCATTTTAATTATGTTAAATTATAATTATCTGTTTACATAAATACTATATTTTCTAGATAGCAGAACTAAGTCTGCTATCCCTATGGTCTTTCTATCCCTAGAGTCTAGTTCATCTTTCTATCCCTATGGTTTAGTACAGGGCATGGAATAGTGTAGGCATTTAATAACTTTATTACTTTAACTTTATTTAATAATTTTATTATTTTCTTCTTAATTAGATTGATAACAGTGAAGTAATAAAATGTCATGTTTGGAAATTAAGTCTTTCTGTGCCTGCTGCCATAGTCCTCAAGCAGCCTGAGTTCTTTACCTCATTGTGCTTTACTAATATAGTGTTCTATGTGTGCTTTAATATTGAAAAAGCTGGTAAGTTCTTAATCATTTTAGAGTGGTTTTTAAAAATGTTCTACTTTTAATTTGATTAACTTTTGCTAGAGTAATGAGACTCCAAAGCAACATTTTTTTTTTAAAAAAAGAAAGGAAAACAAGTACACTCCAAACTTAAACCAAATTAATAACCAGATAAAAAAGAGAAATAGTTGAGTAAAGGATATTTGGAGAAATGCTGATCTTTTCTCTTAAGTAACATGTGATTTTGATTGTATCAACCTTATTTTCATTATATTACCTGTAATAAAATTATTTTCAATTTAGTAAAAAATGAACTTATATTATTTTGGCAAATGATCATTACTCTTAAAAACTCATGATATTGTGGCAACCTGACCCTGCCTGACTATTTCCTGCTCGAACAAGTTAGTTCTTGGCTACACCCCTCTTCCCAGGACTCTCCGGCTGACCCCGCAGTCCGAAAACCTGCTTAAACGATTAAGCCTGTTTCCTTATAGTTTGGCAGCCAATCAATGTTCTCCTTATGTTCTCCTTCCTTATATGGAATATCTATAGCTGTGTAGGAATGTGGAAGTACAAGATGGTATAAAACTGCCCTCCATGTTACAATCAGGGCTCAGCCTTTGGATAAGAATCTGCTGAGCTGGTGCTGGCATCAATAAATGCTGCTTCCTGCTTATAGCCTCGGTGTCCCGTCTCTCTGTTTGACAATTCCACAACATTTCTGGGGGCTCTTCCAGGATTTGGAGATGACGGTTTTTCGCCTCCCTTGTCTTCAGGGTCTGGCCCCCAGGATGCTGGGAGAAGCGGACTTCACCTGGGGCGCCAGCAGACCTATTGTCTGTAGGGGAAAACAACTCTTCCAGCAGACCTGGGCGGTGGCTCTGAAAGCACAATGGAACCCTAAGAGGCACAGAAACCAGCCCAGGAGCACCGCCTAACTGAGTAGTAAGGACCCAGGTCCCAGGAACAGCCTGTCCACTAGAGGACAGAAGGAGAGTCTGCTCAACTCCCGAGGCCACCTGCGTATTCTTCATTTATTAGAGGAAACCGTGACCTCTCAGGTACATAGAGCGGAGGGTGGAGTGTGTTTGGTGTGTGCTAGTGTGACTGAGACGTGGCCTTCTACGAAGCAAGAGTTGAGCTCCTATCTGTGGTTCTGTGGCAAACCATACACGGCTTAGAGTGGTTTCACTGGATCTCCGTGAGGAGTCTACTCCAGTGATCCTAGTCCGGGGTTTATATCAACCCACCGATTGCGAAGAGGCAATTGCTAAGAAAGATTCCCATGATGGGAGCGGCCGGAGATGAGCGAAGCGAATCTCAGTGTGTGTGCGACACCGACCACAGTTGGAAGGATGAGTGGACAACAGAGTAAACAGATACTTTTAGGTTGTATGCTTAAGAATTTCAGAAAAGGTTATTCAGGAGATTATGGAGTTAAACTTACCCCACAGAAACTCCGCATCTTTTGTGAGATTGACTGGCCCTTTGGTGTTCGGTGGCCAGCAGAGGGGACTCTTGATAGAGAAGTCATTGCAAAGGTCTCTTAAATCATTACCGGTCAACCTGGCTACCCAGAACAATTTCCTTATATCGATATTTTGGAGGCAATAGTTTGCACCTGACCCTCTTGGTTGAGAGTCTGCCTAGATGCGAATTGTAGGGTCCTCCTAGTCCAGGCCTTGGCACCCTCCTGAGCTCGGTTGAAGGAAAAGAAGCCTGTGTTGCTGGCAGAGGCGGAGGAAGTCTCACCACTATACTTACCCATTTATCCACCCCTTCCAAAGGCCTCTGACAGCTGGCTTCTCCTTTGGAGTCGTCCACCCCAGCCCCTTCGATTTCTCTTGGGACCCCGTCCACACCAGCCTCCATTGACGCATCACCACCTCCTGCTTAACCCCCTATAGCCCTGCTGGAACCCGGACCAAGGTGTCTCCAGTCAGGGGGCAGGTGCTTCAGCTGCCCTTGCGAGAAACCTGCGGCCCCATCTATTATGATCAGTATGGTCAGATTCAGGGAGGCTGGTGTACCTTTATACCCCTCCAATCGATTATCCAGACTCACAAATCCACTTGGGCCAATTGCCAGCAACTCCTCCTGACCCTCTTCAACACTGAAGAGCGCCAGCGCATCACCCAGGCCACCTTGAAATGGCTAGAGGAACATGCCCCGGAAGGCACCTTGAACATGCAAACTTACGCCCAGAATCAGGTTCCTGAAGAAGACCCCTAGTGGGACCCCAATGATGACAGGGGACTTCAGATGTTAGCATGACACCTGGAGGCTCTCCTAGGTGGTCTGAAGGAAGGCGGGAAGAAGGCCAAGAATATGAGCAAGACTTGAGAGGTCATCCAAGGACCAGAAGAAAGTCCAAGCCAGTTCTATGAGAGGCTTTGTGAGGCATTCCATCTCCCTTTGACGCAGAAGCAGCCAAAAACCTGAGGATGGTCAATGTGGCCTTTGTTGGGCAGGCCCAAGGAGACATTCAACGCAAACTGCAAAAACCGGAAGGCTTCGCTGGCGTGAACATCAGACAACTCCTTGAAGTTGTGACCAAGATCTTCTTCAATTGCGACTAAGAGGCCCGCCAAGAGGCTGATTGAAAGATGAAGGAGAAAGTCACTACTTGCTGCTGCTCTGGTAGAGCAGTCTGGGCCCCCTAGAAGAAGTGCCCCACGAGGTCGGGGACAAAACCAGCGGGAAGGTCAACCAGGGAGATCCCCTGCCCTGAAGATGAGACTGAGAAGAGACCAATGTGCAAACTGCCACCAGCAAAGCCACTGGAAAAATGAGTGTCCCCAATGACTGGGTGAGCCATCAGTGGCTTCCGGCTCCTGATGACACAGCCAAGTCATACAAGGGCATTATCAACTGACTCGCCCATCGCCAGGTTCTCCTAGGGACGACTTTGTTGGCCTTGCTGCCCTGGAAGAGTTTGGAGATGACTAAGTCAGACTGGGCTCCATTCTGCTAGGCCCCTAGGAGCCTATGGTCCAAATGATAGTTGAGGGGCTGACCTATTGAGTTTATAGTTGACACCGGAACTGAACACTCAGTTGTAACTTGGCCTGTGGGCCCCCTTTCTCAAAGACAAGCTACAAGCTACTATATGGGAACAACCAGGGGGCGAGTCTGTCACCCCTTCCTGCAGCCCCGCTAGTGCAACCTAGGAGGACAAGAAGTTGTCCACAAATTCCTATAACTGCCCAACTGCCTTGTGTAACTGATGGGAAGAGACCTTTTAGGAAAACTACATGCTCAGATGACCTTTGACTCATGTGGCCAAGTAGCCCTAACCTTAGAGAAGGCCAGAAGCAAGAATTATGTCACTCATGGTTCCCCAAGGAGAAGAGTGGCGCCTCTACAGTCTTATATGAGCTCCCCTTCAAAGTACCCAGAGTGTGGGCTGAAGACAACTCTCCAGGACTGGCCTGACACATTTCTCCAGTGGTGGTCGAGTTAAAACCAGGAGATGAGCCAGTCCGCCAAAAACAGTATTTCATTCCCATAAGGCACAAGTGGGGATCCAAAAACATTTAGAGAGATGAAATGTTTGGAATTCTCTGTCTCTGCCAATCATCCTGGAATATGCCTCTCCTTCCGGTTCAGAAGCCAGGGACTGACAAATACTGGCTGGTCCAAGATTTACGAGTAGTCAACCAGGCGACTGTTACCCTGCACCCTGTCGTCCCCAACCCATATACCTTCCTAGGCCTCATCACTGCTGAGACAACCTATTTCACCTGTCTGGACCTCAAGGATGCATTCTTCTGCATTTGCCTGGCTCCTTAGAGTCAGCCAATCTTTGCCTTCCAATGGGAAAACCCTGAAAGCAGAGACAAGGGCCAGTTGACATGCACACGGCTGCCTCAGGAGTTTAAGAACTCCCCAACCATCTTTGGGACAGCTCTAGCCTCAGATTTAAAGGCCTTCCCAGCAGACCAACACAGCTGTACGTTACTCCAGTATGTAGATTACCTCCTCTTACAGGGAAGACCTATGAGGAATGTATGGAAGGACCGCATCTACTCCTCAATCTCCTCTGGGAAGCAAATTACGAAGTTTCTAAAAGGGAGGCTCAAATCTGCCAAGAAAGAGTTAAATACCTTGGCTTCCACCTGTCGCAGGACAATGCCAACTCGGCCCAGAAAGGAAACAAAAGGTTTGCTCAGTTCCCATTCCTACCACCTGACAAGTCTGCAAATTTCTTGGAGCAGCTGGTTTCTGCAGAATCTGGATATCTAATTTCTCCATCCTGGTCAAATCCCTCTATGAAGCCACAAAACAGGGAGAATGGAAGCCCCTGCTCTGGGAATCTACACAACAGAAGGCCTTCAAAGAAATCAAATGGGTAGTCACTAACGCCTCTGGACTAGGACTCCCAGACTTAACCAAATTTTTCTTTCTGTACGTACACTAGCGCACGAGTGTCACAGTAGGGGTCTTAACCCAACTACTAAGATCTTGGCACCATCCTGTGGCTTATCTTTCCAAACAGCTTGACTCTGTTGCCCAGGGCTGGCCATCCTGCTTACAAGCACTTGCAGCCATGGCCCTCCTTGTGTCAGAGGCCGACAAACTGACTATGGGGCAAAAACTGACAGTTTGAGTACCACATTCAGTAATAACATTACTAGAGTAAAAGGATCAATATTGGCTAACCAATGCCGGAATGGTCAGATTCTAAGGAATGCTGTGCGAGAATCCACGCATCCACCTAGAAGTAGTATGAACCTTGAACCCAGCCACCTTGCTAACCGTTGGGCTCAGTCAGCCAGACCATGATTGCATTGAAGTCATGGATGAACTGTTTTCCAGCTGACTTGACTTGACAGGCCAGCCCCTCAAGGACTTTGATATAGAATATTACATTGATGGTAGCAGCTTTGTGAGGGGAGGAGAACGCCTTGCAGAATATGCTGTGGTGACCCTACATTCCACCATTGAGGCAAAATCTATGCCTAGGGGAACCTCAGCACAGAAGGCAGAGCTCATCGACTTGGCCAGCACCCTTCAGCTGGCAGCAGGAGTGTGTGCTAACATATACACTGACTCTAAGTATGTCTTCACCACCCCCCATGTACCTGGAGCCTTGTACAAAGAGAAGGGTATAATCAGTTCTAGGAGAAAATACATAAAACAATGAAAGGAAATTCTAGAACTCTTAGATGCTATATGGGTCCCCAAGAAAGTAGCAGTCATGCATTGCAAAGGACATCAAAAGGGGGATGCCATAACAGCCTGGTGCAACCGCAGGGCAGACCGTGTTGCCAAACTGGCAGCGGCTGAGGGGATGGCCAGCCCTATAGCAATAACTGCTTCCTTGTTTCCTAGTCCCTTAGTTGAATGGGACCCCAAGTATTCACCTCAAGAAGAAGCCTGGTTTAAGACTGAAGAGGGGAGCCTACTCCCTGGTGGATAGTGGAAGTTCAAGGATGGGCGAATTGCAGTCCCTGAGACCCTAGCCCCAGCTTTTGTCAAGCAGTTTTGCCAAAGGACTCACCTTGGTCACACTGCCCTAGAAACCACTCTGGGCCATTCCCCTGCTCTCTAGCATCTCCCAAGCACTGTGTGAATGGTGCAACGTCCGTGACCGCGCCATGTGCTCCAATGGGGGTCTAAACTGTCGGTGGCACCCCCTTTGAGGAACTCAAAGTAGACTTCACTGAAATGCCTTGATCACAGGGCCTCAAGTATCTCTTGGTCTTTGTATGCACCTATTCCGGTTGGGTAGGGGCTTACCCCACCCAGACTGAGAAGGCCCGAGAAGTAGCCAGACTGCTCCTCCGAGAAATTGTTCCATGATTTGGTCTACCAGTAAACATTGGCTCAGATAATGGGCCAGCCTTTGTAGCAGAAATAGTGCAGCTACTAGCCAAGAATTTAAATATTAAATGGAAATTACATACTGCCTATTGACCACAGAGTTCGGGACAGGTGAAATGCATGAACAAGACTCTTAAGACTCAGTTGGGAAAACTATGTCAGGAGACACATCTACATTGGGACGAAGTCCTCCCCATGGTACTATTAAGAATTCGGTCGGCCTCAACCAAGAAGACTGGATTCTCCCTCTACAAAATCTTGTATGGGAGGCCACCACCACTCATCAAAAGACTACGAGGAGACCTCAAGGAAATAGATGAATTGACTCTAAGACAACAGCTTCAGGCCCTAGGTTCCACCTTCTAGACTCTCAACCAATGGGTTAGGGAAAGGCTCCCTATCAGTTTAACCACTGAAGTTCATACCTTTAAGCCAGGAGATTCTGTCTGTGTAAAAGAGTGGAACATTCAGCTCCTAAAGCCCCTGTGGAGAGGCCCCTTTACTGTCATTTTATCTATCCCCACTGCAGTTAAAGTTGCTGAAATAACACCCTGGATACATCACAGCAGACTTAAACCTGCAGCTGCAGAATGCGAGTGTATTCCAGACTCCTCCAAGTCCCTCAAGGCAACCTTCTGTAAGAAAACACCGACTGCGCCGACAGACTGAGGGTAAGACATCGACCTGCTTTGGTCACGCCGGAAGCTGACTAATCTACATGTGGCAGAAGCCTGAGGATGATGTCTCATCAGGATGGCCACCCCATCGTATTATCCAATACTATGGCCTCACAACTTGGGCCCAAGATGGGAGCTGGGGTTACCGGACCTCTATATACAAGCAGTTCTTGAGATCATAACCAATGATACTGCTACTGCCTTAGAGCTACTAGCCAGGCAACAATCCCAGGTGCGGTCAGCTATCTACGAAAACCTCCTAGCCTTAGATTATCTATTAGCGGAAGAAGGAGGAATGTGCGGAAAGTTTAACCAGACTGATTGTTGCCTCAAAATAGATGACAATGGCAAAGCCGTGACTGCCATAGCTACTAATATTAGGAAGACAGCTCATGTACCCGTCCAAAGTTGGAAAGGATGAGACCCTAGTAGCCTCTTTGGAGGCTGGTTCTCCAATTTTAGTCGCTTTAAGACCTTAGTTGAGATAGCACTCCTTCTCCTCCTCAGGACCTGCCTCCTCCTCCCGTGCCTATTGCCTCTTGTTATCCGGTCAACTACCTCCCTAATAGAAGCTATAATAGAACGAAAAACTGCAGCAAAAGTCCTCATGCTAAGGAGGTACCAGCCTCTAAAACAAAAATTATAAGAAGGACTCAGTCCTGGGTCTGAGCATCAAAGCAGGGAATGTGGCAGCCTGACCCTGCCTGACCATTTCCTGCTCATACAAATTAGTTCCTGTCTGCACCCCCTATCCCAGGACTCTCCAGCTGATGCGGCAGTCCGAAGACCCGCTTAAATAATTAAGCCGGTTTCCTTAGAGTTTGGCAGCCAATCAATGTTCTCCTTATGTTCTCCTTCCTTATAGCTGTGTAGGAATGTGGAAGTACAAGATTGTATAAAACTGCCCGCCATATTTAAATCGGGACTCAGCCTTTGGATAAGAAGCCGCTGAGCCGATGCCGGCATCAATAGATGCTGCTTCCTGCTTACAGTCTCAGTGTCCCATCTCTTTGTTCCAGAATCCCGCAACAAGATAATATCAAAAAAAAAAGTAGTAACATTCATTTTGATAATTCAGTTTTTGAGCCAATATAATAAAATAAAAATAACAACAAAACAATATAAGCAAACATCTAAAATATATCCTGTGCCTATGTGCCAAACAGTTTACTAGGTCTTTCAACATGATCTCATTTTATTTATCTGGAGCGTAAAGCAGCTTTAACTCCATTTTACAGATGAGGAAAGTATAATTTAGAGAGAGTAACTTGCTTCATATTACAACCCAACTAAGAAGTTATGGCTACAAAGTTTGAACCTAAGAATGCCCTTTCTACTATTATAGACTTTTTTTCAGTAGAGTATGTTCCAAACTCAGTGTTAGCAGTTATACATGAGCAGGCCATATATAAAATCAGCAATGAGGTACAGAAGACTTAAAACAAAATTAACTTGCCTCTATTATCTCCTAAGGCATATGTTCAACAAACGCTATACTCAACAGTGCTGTATCCAGTAGCTCTCCGTTTTCACCCAAGTGTACATGTTGATTAAAACTAGGAAATACCTGAAATCCAGACATATCTTTAAAACATTTCAGACTCACAAAACTTTTGGGCTAGTATCTGATTTTGCATTTTGTTGATATATTATTATAAAAACGCTTTGACTTTTCCTTCAGTGAAACCAAACAAAAGTCATAATGTATGTTCTTCCAAATTAAAGCAATAATGGCTTCAACAAAACTGTTGTATATACAGCTGTGGCAATATTTAGATATGTAAGCATCCTGGTTGAATACCAAATACACACAGGATCAATATCAAGTTGACTTTACAGTTGATTTTAATGGGCATGATGGATAATTTGAAAGGATGTGATTTCCACATTCACATTTAACATTAGGTGATCTCAACAGTTATCTAAATTATGGTGAGTTCTAAAATTAACAGTGAGTTCAGACTATCATTTTAGATTAAAAATGTAAAGGCCATTTTTCTCAAATTGAGATTGAAATGCTAAAAGTGGCTTTGACAGCACTATTGAATTGGCCTTGAAGACTACTAATTAGACCACTGTCCTTAAAAGTTGCCTTCTTACTGTTGAATTGTACACCTGAAACGTACTGAATTTCATTAACCAATGTTACTAGAATAAAAATAAATAAATAATAAAAAAAGAAATGATAAACAAACAAAAATGTTGCATTTTTAGGCAGCTTAATAAGGTTGGTTATTCTTTTAAAGAGCTTTGTTTATAATGAAAACTTCAATAGGTTGCTAAAAATAATAAAAACAAACATATAAACATTGAAATTTACACTCTTAAAAAACAAAAAACAAACAAAAAGAAAATAAATCAGTGACTAAAACTGGCAGATTTTCCTCTAGAGCTTGCTTTTGCCTTATAAATTTCTATTTCCTATCCCAGGGAGGGCAGTGAAGGGTAGGTTATGTTGCTTTGGGTACAAACCGTCTTCTGGGTTATGCTAGTTTGTTGCTAGGTGCTCAAGGTTGTTTATTCAGCACAAACTACTAGTGTTTGGCTACAGAAGTTCAAAGATTTATAGAAGGCTTCTCCGTGGAGAGCTGTAGTTGTTATTACTTTAGTTCTTATTCAAAAACTTCCATATTCATGAGCAGTGTTGACAAATGGCATGCTCAAGAACACTGTGAACTTTTAAACTACTTCATAAAAATATTATTAATATTGATGAAATCTATCTTTTCTTATACTTTGTTGAATCAGCCTGAAAACTTTTCCTCTTCTCCCACCTTCCAGCACTGGAAGAGCAAGTAAGGGGATGGTCTCATCCCATGGGAACACCCCCAGTTGGGGCTGTCATTGGCCTCTGACACTGTTCACTTGGCCAGCTGTTTCCTGATCCACAGAGATGTCATGGCTCCCAGCTAGGTGATCAAGAACTCATCTTATCTATTCTTATATGAGGAGCTGCTTCCCTCTAACTTCTCTCAAAGTGAAGAAGCAAAGGTTTATGCTGGTTGTTTGTCTATAGCTTTGTCCCAAATGAAACTGACTTTCAACGGCCTGCTATGGTATAATCTTAGTGGAATGATCATTTGTTTGCTAAATCTTTGGACAATGGAAAGAGGGAGGGCTGCAGGGAAGTTTGGGGAGTCAGCAGGGGAAGAGGAAGGTGCAGAAGAGAACAAGAGCTTACTGAACACCTACTGTATTCCATTCATTGTGTTAAACAGCTTGTTTCATCTTGCAGCTCCTTTAAGAAATAGAGTTCCCCATTCTATTGGTGAAGACACTAAGGCAAATAGTGGTTACTTGCCAAAGCCATCCAGTTAGTGATTGCCTTTCTGTTGCCTGAAGACACACCTCAACCCTAACTCCACGACTTCTATTGCACTGTGCAAAAGAGAGGATTACAGATACAATAGAGAAGGAGGGAGATGGAAGGGAGGAAGAGGGAAATAAAATAAAAAAGAATATGAGAGAGCTCTGAAATGCTGCCAATAGTTATTCAAGGTTAATTCTATCTGAGGTAATCCTAAGCAAGGCCACAAATTAGGCCTACCTTAAGCCATCTTCTAGTTTCTGGGTCACATGGATCCATCTTTGCCATTTTAGGAGGGTCTTAGTTTTAGAAAGCTATTTGGAAAGCTAAATTTAGAAAACTAAATTGTCAGCTTAATGCTTATCCTTCCCAGAGACATTGCTATGTAATAGAAAAATTCAGTCAAAAGTATGATAAGTCTCTGCAAAATACATTTGGAAAGAGCATTTATTTGCTCAGTGATCCAGCTTCCAAGTTAGCCTTGTAAGCAGGAGCTGTTTTTTTTTTCCCCCAGAAACAACTTTCTTGAGTCTTGCTTTCAGTTTCTACAGTATTCCATTTTTAGATTCCTGACACACTGCTACCTTTCACTCCGGTGGAACTGGAAGGAATTCCTTCCTCAGAGGAAGCCCTTCCTTATCTCTCTAGCAATCTGACTTGAAGGCCTGTAAAGATATTTTGTTTTGATTTACAGTAGTAAAAATGTGGAAACTTAATTCTGAATTTCTTACTAGAAGTAGGTCCATCAGCTGTCTATTTGTTAATAGATTTACCCCAGTCTAACCTGACAACCAAGCACATGACTTTGCCCAAAAAGTAGAAAGACAATGACAAGAACAAATTCGCCTAGGGAAGAAATGACATCGATACATTTAAAACACTTTTCAAATGTTAAATTCATTGAGGGTTGCTATGGACTGAATACTTGTGTTCTCCAAAATTCATAGTTTGAAATCTTAACCCCCAAGGTGATGGCATTAGGAGGTGGAGCTTTTGGGAAGTGAATAGGTCATGATGATGGAGCCTTAATGAATGAGATTAGTGTCCTTATAAAAGGGACCCCGGAGAGCCCCCTCAGACCTTCCACCATGTGAAGATGCAGAAAGAAGTTGGCAGTCGGCAACCCAGAGAGGGCCTTCACCAGGCATCAAATTTGCCAGTGACTAGATCTTAGACTTCCAGCCTCCACAATTGTGAGGAATAAATCTCTGTTGTTTAAGCCACCCAATGTATGATTACTTTTTATATCAACTCTAAGAGACTAAGATAGGGGTGTTTGGGGATACATTCCATGTCATATTATGGAAAATAGAATTTCTTAAGCAAAGTAAACGAGTATCTCAGTCCTCAACACACATGTAAGGTCAGAGCTTCATAATGGAAAAGCAGCTCTATTTTCACAGATTTGCAATACAGACTTGAAACTGTGCATATTGGGAATTTTTAAAATGGGAACGAAGATTGTGTCAAGTTTTTACTTGGTTTATTTTTTCCTGTACTTGAGGTGTTGTATTCATTGGGTCTTAGGCCACGAGGCCGTAGAAAACCACTTTTGATGTGACAAAAGTCTTAAATTCCCTGCTTTGGTGGAGATTGCAAAGAAATAAATCACTTTAAAAATATCTAAATAAAACGAAGTAAAAAGAAAAAAGGAAAAGAAAAGCTCCATGTGCTCAGGGGAGCTTTTGTTTATGAAATCAAAGCTATCCAGGGAGACACACCAGGTTTTACTGTTAAAACTTACCAGTTTCATCTCTAGTGCTAACCACCACCACCCCCCAGCATCCTCACCAGGAGGTCACTGAAAGTGAGTGACAGCTTAGAGAATCATCTTGTCTATTCAGTTTTTTCACAGAGGCTCATCTGTTCCCATTTTTACAGAAATGGAGCTCTTCCAAAGAAGCCAAACTTCATTCCCTCGTACAGGCTTTGAAAAAAATTTGATGTCATTTTGGCATTTTGGAATCTTGCCTACCTACAAGGTCTAAACAAATTGCTTTTCAGGCAAGTCTCATCACAGAGTACACCCTAGTTATCAGGTGCAAAAGCCTGTCATCAGACTTCATTGCCTCGTCTTGTCCCTCCAGACTTGTTGCCTCCCTGCCTGAATGCTCCCCGCTCCCCGCATGTCTGAACACACACCATGTCTGCTGGATAAAGAGCTTCTGGCTGGGGCTGGACCTTCCCTCCTTGGCAAGAAATAGCTGCCTACGGAATATCAGAGCAATTCTAATCAGGCATGACTCAGCTCTTCTGTGACCTCTGTTCTCCTTTTTCCTTGATTAGACTAGTGCACTGGTCTTACTTGTGGAAATATGTGCCCATGCCACCTTCCTCCCACTCTCCGAATTTCAAGAGGGAAAATTCCTTTCGAGAGGAATATTTAGAAGGTTTTATCATGGAATTCTTGCCATGGATGGTCTTACTCCAATTACCATGGCCCTAACTATCTCCCTTTCCCCATTTTGCAATATGGATATTTCTCTCTTACCATAATTTTCTCAGAATTTGAGTTTATCAATCAAAAAACGGAGTTCAGAATTCATCAATGTTATCCATAAAACTTTGCAATTGTTTCTTTCAAACAAGTTTTTTCCTGTTGAAATATTTCATCATAAAAATATAAAGCATTGACACATATTTTAGTTTAAGTATAATCTTAAGTGTTTAAAATGTGAAGGGGGTCAAATATAGGGAGATGGGGGATAGTGAAGTGGGTAAAGGGGTTGAAATACATGGTAGCTGAAGGAAACTGGACTTTGGGTGGTAAACACACAATAAAATATACAGATGTCAAATGATAATGTACACCTGAAAGTTATATAATTGTATTAACCAATGTTACCCCAATAAACTTAATTAAAAAAAAAAAAGGTGAAAGGACAATTCACTTTAACCTACTATTAATGTGATATAGCTTTTTTCTTGCTGCTTTTTTTAAAAGCTTACATGAAGCAGAAAATGCTGAAGGGGGCACCCCTGCTTCAGAAAGAGAGAAGGAACAAAACTGCATGATAAAAATACTTGGTAGGAAGTAGCAAATGGAATCTTTGTTGATTTTCTCTTATGATTTGGACAATTGTTTTTCCTTAAAAAGAACAGAAAAAGAAAAGATAATCTACCTAAAATATTAATGCTTTTTTCAGAGTTCTAGGATAATCCAGAACAGAGTCATTTTTAAAGAAAAGGAAATAGGTTTCATTTCTGGTAATGGATTTCCTCCATTGATTTGCATATTCGTTGACATGATAAGCTGAATGAGGCTGCCTTGTGTTCATTCCACAGATGGAAAATAGGGAGTACAGGAATCAGATAAGCATTTATAAGGACAACCTTTTGAGATTTGATTTTGAATCAAGAGATAGTGTCCAACACATATTCCACTGAGCATGCTTGTCAAAAAACCTCACATTCCAGATGCACGAAGAATGCATGCATTGAGCACACACATACCCTGTCCAACAACTGCGCCCCAGATAGCCCCTGCAGACACATGTTCTAACACAGTTACAACAGAGCATGCTCCCAAGCCTTTAAGCTTTCACAGCCCTCAGCCAATCATCTGCCAAAGATGCTCAAGCAGCAGTTGAAGTGGGCCTGACCTCTGGTACTCATGGCCACTACAGAAAACTTCCTGTGAACCCCAGGGACTCAGAGGAGGTGATGAGGAGGCTGCCAAAAAAGCCCCAGGCAGTCAGTCTGCTTTCTACCCTCATTATTCCTCGCTCCCATGTTTCTCTGGAGAACCTAAACCTGTCGGGGCTTCGATAGGCCATGCTACCCAGTAGTAACAGTAGTTACCAGCAAAATGATAAACACGACAATATTTCCAGCAAATAATAGTCTTTATATTATCTGATGTTCTCTTGGCTTTCTGGCTTTTTGAAAAATTTATTTTATTTTTCAATCCATTTGTTGCAAATGGAATACTGTGCTTAAGCCAAGCAGACAATGTAAAACTCTGACTTTAAAGCCATTTCTTGATAAAACATCAAAATAGCCCAGGTTGGACCAACTGCTATCTGGAATTCTACAGATAATTAACTGAAACTCAGCTCCCACTTGCCATGGGAGTTTCTGCAAGCAAGGTTTTTCTCATGGGCCTGCTTGATTTTGTTGCTGTTTCTCCTATGTTTTGTTAGGCAGGGAGAAGTTTGGATAGCTCATAATAAAATTTCATGTTATGGAGCATGGAGAATGTGAATTCCTGCTTAGTCTCGCAGAGGCTTGAAACATGCACTGTGCCCTAACTTTCTCCTTGAGGTGATATCATTTTACTTCTCTCAGCCTGGAAACACTGCTGCCTGCAACTTCTCCTGGTTCTTTCCTTACTTTAGATAAGCAGCAATCTTTCTGTCATGCATGTTAGAAATATTATTTTGTAAAATGTGATGGTACTAAATTTACATAAGGCACAGAGTTCCCCACTTCGGATTTGCCACTCCTGTGGGTACATTACTGAGCCCCCTCACTTCTCCCAGCCTTTAAACTCCAGCCCTTCCAATCCCTTTGCTTGAGTCAAGCAGTGGTCTCACCACTCCAACCTCCCTTGCATTTTCCCACTCTCCACCTCCATGCATTGCCCATTCACCAAGCCATATCTCCCTTTAAATGTGAACTCACCTTAAACCCCACCACCTCTTCCAAGGAGCCTCCCCTGATTAAGTAGGGGTGAAGAAACCTCTGAAGCATGACTGACGAATTCCCAATAGATGAAAACACACACATCCCAAAACAAACACAGAAACTCACAAAAAGAGAAAATTACACATTCTCTACTTTCAGACTGTATGCTCCTATGAGGTCAACTTTATACCAATAACCAATTAATCATTTTAAACAATGAGGTATTTTTAATTTCCTTGGGGCTTACTCAGCAGAACACTATGTCTTCTTTCCCCCACTGAGTCTCTGCTTTCGTAAAATCCCTCTTTTTTTCTTCTCAGCTTCTTGAATGCAAAACAAAAAGTGGACTGCCACTGGGCAGATATGGATGATATGGAAAATACTAAAGGAAGCTGGTCCTTGCAATACCTCCTGGGTGGTGGATCACACTGCCCAGGAAGAGCCTGCCTTTGAGACTGGCAAATGCCTGAGCCACTTCATTTTCTCATCAGGAAGACTTAGCAACTCATGCCTATATACTTCCTGGGCAAACATGTCTGTTGCATTGGGATAAAGGACCAGAACACTTTAGAAAAGGCCCTGCTGAAAGAATGGGGGCAAGGTTCTTGACAGACTCAATGTCCAGCCTCAAATAAAGCTGTTGAAGAGCAAGGGGATCTGTAGAAAATACTAGATCTGAAGCAATCACACCAGAAAACAGAAAAAGACATGTTCATTCATAGATGCCGTCCTCTTGGGTCAGTGTTAATGCCACTCGTAGGGGGCTGAGAGGCTTGTGGCATAAAATGATCGGAATGAGGAGAAACACAGATGGAATGGTGATAGCTGGCAATAGAACATGGCGTCAAACACCACTGCCACAGAAGCTTTCTAGCTACAAAGCCACGCTATGCAACCTTTAAGCAAAACATTACTGATTTTGGATGTAAAACGTACCTTCAACTGCAGAACTCAGTTTTATGACACCTTGAATAAAAACAAAAAGTGGCAGTTATATAATGGACCTGAATGATCTTTTCCAGTCTTCTCATAACAAACACATGCTTCAGATCTGGATTTTTTTTTGCTGGCATTTTGAGAATTTAACTAAACAAATATCAACTTCAAAAATTAAATAGTTTTCAGTCCTTCATCATGGGTGTCTTCATTTCTCTACAAAAATCACTTGGTGGAGTTTTTCACTAACTAAGAGATCTGACATGTTTTTGGATGAAACAAAAGCCAAGTCTGTCTGACTATTTCTGTACATAAATCATGCTGGATCATGGGTTGATAAAACTTTGCACAACTGGACACCAGTGTCTAGTACTTCCTATTTATTCTTGTGTACAGCGATCATTTGATACATGTTGGAACAAGATGTCTGTTGAAATATATAACAGGTGGTTAAAAACCATGGTGTGATCTGGTAACTTCCTTCTCTGGAGTGATTTGATCACACACCATTTGCTGGTCTGATGTGTTCAGTGTTCCTGCTCCCTGCAAGTCAGACAGTGAAAGGGCTGTTTGGGCATAACAAATTGTTCACGAAGCAAGTGGACATTACCCTTGATTGGATATTCATGCACCCTTTTGGTGAATTTAAAGGTGAAAATACTAAACTAAGATAAATTAGACCTGATTCAATGATTTAATGAAAAAAGCATTTTTTTTGGTAAGTTATAGTTTTAAATTAATCATATTTCCTAAATTTTATAAGATAGTCATGATACTTGAGACTGAGCAAAAAGGTCCACAGTTTCATTTGGTTGACATTCTGGTTCTCTTTCAAGCTGGAGGATTTTCAAATTGCAAATGGAAACAAAACTGGTAAATCAGATTGGTATCAGCATGAACACACTCTGATTTTAGCAGATTATGTTTGCAAAGAGACAAACTTGCTCTCCATTATAATTTTCCAAATAAGCACTTTTTAAGTAACCTGTTGAATTTCACTTTTCCTACAGAATGAGTAGTATCCGCTCAATGTTTAATAAGGGATTCTCCAGGGTGAAAAGTATGCATATATATGTATGCGAGTTTATT